GTCAAATGAAGAGAAATTCAAATATGCATAGGGTTTAGGCTTGTACAAGTTGATAGACAGTGGGACATTAAGGGCTTTAGCATTAACCTGAGAAGCAATTTCAAGAAGGTCGGCCTCTTTAATATTTTTTGGAATGCCGGCAAGAATAGCGACATGTTCTCTACGGCTGGCACGTTGGGATTTCGAAAAAGATGCCGGGCAGACACGTAAAGAATTGCCAAGGCAGATAATCGCCCAGATTTCATTAAATTGGGTAATTGCATCCGCGAAGGAAAATTAGATATGACCATTGTAGTAATGTTTTTTAGGGGTGAGTTTGCATTTAATCACAGTGCCATATCGGGAAAATGCTTGGCTGACTTGCGTTTCGTTTAGGAATAGTGTGATGTCTGTAACAAACAAAGACTTCGCTTCGTCATTGAGTTTGGCATCTGCAGGGGAATAGTGAGTAAAGGCTAAATTGAGAAGATCTGCACGTGGGAGCTGACACAATCGGTATAATCATGCTGATCATTAAAGAAGACAAGGATCTTTTTGTTATCGCGTGATCCATCGCAACGTGCACGGGCACCATAGGAAAGATATCGGGAGAGTGAACAATCCACTTCGTCACACATGGAGCGATTAGTGGTGAATTTATCTTTGAACGTGTCAGGCGCGTCACGTAGATAGGCCGCAGCATGATAACGAGTGGGTGCGGATTTGATAGCGGCAGCATTACCATCAGGGGATGGTCGGCGTTCCGGGATATTGAAGGCAACAGCTTTGCCTTTACCGTCGGTGTTAGAGGGGGCATGGATAGAAGCGTCAACAGTTTCAACAGGAGTAGTAGTATTTTGAAAAGAGGTGATCACTTGGACTTTGTTGACAGGAAGACCAGAAGGAACGGTAGAAGCAAGGGTAGGAGCAGGAGCTGAGGGCGAAGTTATATCAACATTCATCTAGAGTTCCAATCCGTCATCTGACGGATAATCACATTTTGACAGTTGTACGCTCATTTAATTAATATAAAAGAGCATTTTTTTTTAAGGATATCCTAAGAGCATAATACAGTATATAATTTAATAAATAAACTTTTTTTTCAAAAATGAAAGTGAGGAGAAATTAGGAACAGATTAAAATATCATCCGACGGATGAAAATTTCAATCCGACTAAGATTTCACCCCATTTATTTTATGTTCAATTAATTAAATAATGCATAGTCTGATCACCTTACATCGAATGCAGTTCCTAAATTATAAATTATGAAACATAAATGTCTCTTTCCAAAAATAAATGAGAAGAGATTGATCATCCGTCGGATGACGGATTGGAACTCTACATTCATCGCGTCCTCAGAGACAGTACGTGTACGTTTATTGGGTGCGCCAGTGGTACTAGTGGGAGATAAAGGTCGGTCTCCAGAGGGAGTAAAAACAATAGGACGCGGTGGCGGCGGAATATCCGGGTTAATAACAGAAGGAGCTGGAGGTGTAGTCATAGTTTAAAGCTCAGTAAAGAGGAAAGCAACTGTGGAAATATTAGTATTGTGAACGAGCATTTAGAAATTTTCGAATGAAAATTTCAAAAATAAATTTTATTAGTATTTTCAAAAATTCAGGAAAGAGTTGTGATGATCCTCATATATTTGGTGATTATAAAGAGATGTGACTATATAAAAAATTTCTTATATTAGTATATCATAATTCCGGCCAAAAATTAACATAATTTTGGCCAAAATTATACTTAAAACTTTATTGTATCGTAACTCCTCCAATATTAATCGTAGAGAGATGATCTTACCGCCATTCGATTCGTCTTGATGAGACGGTTCTAATGGTATAAAATAAATCGAAATCCAATCACTAGATTAATTT